TCTGAAATAATTCTATTCAACAAATTTTTATTTGAAATTTTAATTTAATCAACGTCTGAAATAATTCTATTTAACAAATTTTTATTTGAAATTTTAATTTGACATCTGAAATTAATTTTGTGATCAAAGCTGCCCAAACCACTACTACTGTGGTGCCAAGATTGATTGCATCATTAGATGTCACAACATGAATCATCAATGACATTGCTATTTAAATTAGATTTCAATGTGCATGCAGGAAAGATATTACTTCTGTTTTTAGATACATTTTACAGTTGAATTTAAATCAAATTAATTAATAAAAACTGGGTTAATTGACATCATGTAATATAAATGGCATTCGGGAATTCATGTTTAAAGGTGCTTAAATTAAATAAAATAATAAAAATGTGTTAATAAATATAATTTTTTTATTTCATTAGTATATAATTGGTGTTCAGGATGATATTTAATGGTGTTAATTAAATGCATGAACAATTTTATAACAACAAAATGTACAGAGAATATTCAATTTAAATTTTAATGTAACATATTATACAAAAATCATGCATATATATCTATTAAATCATTATTAGGTTCTCATTATCATTAATATTTTAGCAATTATTATTTTACTAAATATAAATATAAATTTTATTTAATTCTGAGAGTGCTCTCAGAATCAAATGCACTTTTATCATTTCCATTGTTTCAGGAGTTTAACAACATCATTTCATGTTGGTAAACTCCTTAACCTCTCTCCATTTGACAAGGAAGTTTTTGTCAACTTTCACTCCTTCTGATGATGTCTTGCTTTGTTTCAATTGAAATCACCTTTCTGTTTTTTTAGAAGCCATGATTTGCACAACACTTGATTAAATGTAAATACTAGTGATGTAACGAATATTCGGCTACTATTCGGTATTCGGCCTAATATCAAATATTTAATCACTATTCGGCCGAATACCTAAAAACAGGAGTAAGAAATAACAAAACACAGTAAATTAATCATTTTGGTAACTTTTATCAATGTTGAGCATACATTTCAAGTTCGAGAAAGCGCAATTGTTTGCTTATTTATGTAAAAGATCAAAGGAAAGTAATATAACTAAGTTATTTATTTAAGAGATCAAAAAAGGGTCATGAAAATTACCTACTTACTATGTAGTTTAGTCATCTATATACCCGTATATAAAAGAACAAGTCCTGATGGGATAATTAACGCAGAGCCAAAACTACTGGTGCCAGAATCTTAAAAATTTGAGGGTATGTTTATTTTGTAACGTTTAGGCGTACTAAGAAAAGATTTTACGAAATTAAACTCTAAAGGAGTGAAAAGGGGTAAAAAAATTGTATGAAAATTTTTACTGCATGGGCACATTAGATCGAAACTTAGGTCATAAAATGTGAAAAAATAATAATTAATGATCTGTAATTTTATGAAANTTAGGCGTACTAAGAAAAGATTTTACGAAATTAAACTCTAAAGGAGTGAAAAGGGGTAAAAAAATTGTATGAAAATTTTTACTGCATGGGCACATTAGATCGAAACTTAGGTCATAAAATGTGAAAAAATAATAATTAATGATCTGTAATTTTATGAAATTATCCTTTATTATAAACTTGAAAATTAAATTAAGTTTTTTGTTTCATTGTACAAAATTATTTATTATAACTGAAGTCAATAAGTGCTAGGTTATGGTGCAGAAAAATCAACTTTTCCACATTTTTGGGAAAAAGTCTGTTCCTCTTTTCTTCGTATACATTTCCTGCTTCACTAAAAAACCTCTCTGAATACACACTGCTTGCAGGAACTGATAAGTACTTAGCAGCCAGTTTGACTAAACATTGGGAAAATTTAGATTTATGTGTAGCCCACCAGGCAAATGGATCGTCGTTTCTCTTTAAAGTTTTCATGCTCAAGTACTTATCAAGGTCACCTGCTATGATGTTCTTTGAAGTAGAAGCTATTCCGACTCCGTTGTCATCATCGGTAAAGTTCTCAGCAACTACTTCATCATAGCACTCCCAGAAAGATGTGTGAATGCTTTGTCCAGGCTCATCGGTTCTTTTACGTTTAGATTGCACAGGAGAAGAATGCACGCTTTCATCGCTGCTGGTATCATAGTCTGAAACTAAATCTTCAAGCAGAATGTACTGCTGGACTCTTTCTTTTTGCAGTTGGTTCATGAAGAAATTCGTCTTAAACCTTGGATCTAACAAAGTTGATATCAGGTAGTTATTATTATTGTCAATCTTTGAAAAATGTTGTTTTATCCCTTGTTGCATGGCGATCGCCATAAACTTTAGTTCAGGTGCTAGGTCAGAAGACACGGCCTTGTTGCATTAGTAGTTAAGAGTAACAACATGGGGAATAATTTCAGATAAGCATGAGTAGTTTGAGCTAGTAATTTTTGTTATCTCTTCAAATGGCTTTAATAATTTCAGTAATTGGTCTACAATCTCCCACTGCTCTGCCGTCAGATTAGACATGTTTGCTGTATCAGTTAAAGGGAAATAGCTTGTTTTTGTTCAAGAAGCCTTTCTAACATATAACAACACGGTGGAATTCTACCTTTTATATCTTGCACTAAATTATGTTTGGCTATTCCCAGCTCTTCCTGAATTTTTTTCAGTTTTTCTTGTGCAGTACTCGAATGATTAAAGTGGGTTACTATTTTTCGTCCCACAGCAATAGTTTCTCTGATCTCAGGTTGAATTTTGAGTGTCTTTGATTACTAACTGTAGTGTATGTATGAAGCAACATGCAGAATTCATTTTAGCCTCACTGACAGCCTTAACAATATTGTGCCCATTGTCATGAACAATGACGTGAATTTTTGATAAAGGGCATTCCCACAGGCTCAGTATTTCTTGCAGAGCATTTGCTATATTTTGCGCAGTATGTTGACCTTCAGAGTGTTTACATTAAGTGCAGCATGTGTCAAGTTAAAATCGCTGTCAAACCAGTGTGCAGTGAAACTGAGGAAACTGACAGAATTTAGCAAGCATGTCCACAAGTCGGTAATGATTGATATATAATCTGTGTTTTCAAGCTTTTTTTTAATCTTTGTTACTACTTTTCCATAAAAAAAAGGAATTATTTTCTCTGAAAAGTACGGTCTACTCAGTATGGCATATCTTGGCAGGATCTCATTTAACAATCTTTTCAAACCAGATCTTTCAACTATGTTCACTGGTTCATTATCAATTGCTATCATTTCGGCAATCAGATAATGGTATTTCACAGCCCGAGGGTCATTTATATCCCACTTTTTTGTTTTTTCTTGGCAGTCGTAAAGGGTTAATTGCTTCGTGGACTTACTTGAACAGGGAACGACATCATCCGCTGTGTTTTCTTTCGTTGAGATATAGATTTATGTATTTTCTGATACTTCTCCTTGTGTTTGTTCTTTAAATGATTTATCAAACCGGACGTCGAAGCTTTTTTCCCCTTGCCTCCACGAGAAATTTTTGTATCACATACTTTGCATTGCACATTACGCGAATCTTCGTCATTTTCTTCAAAGTAAATCCAAACTGAAGACCTTTTTTTACTCATCGTACTGTTCCAAAGTCACAAACCTCTTAAAAAGATCGATTGCAAATAAAATAACTTAACTTGCATCTAAATATCAACAACTGCCGAATGATATCGGGCTATTTACGGCTATTACATAAATTATAAACCAATTTGGCACTAGAGATAGACGTTAGGCGCCATCTCATATTAACTTTAATAATTATA